TGTGCTTCTTCTTATATCTTAGTGACGAGGAATTATTTGCAAGAATTCCTCATCAAAAAGTGGCTATGTTTTTTTTGCCCTTTCTCATCCAATCAATATTCTCAAAAAGGTGTGTATAGAAGAGCTGACAAGTTTGCCCGCCTCATCCGTCCAAGGCGTGCTCCTCTCTAGGAGATCGGAGCCACCACTCCTACTAAAAGCTAAGATGTATCCTATTTTTTTCTTATTTTTTATCCCTCTCCCATTTCTCTCCTAGACATCCAGCCCCCCAATATTTTCTCCTTTTAAGTGAATCCATGTTGGAGTTGATTGGGGAAGTTTTTTCATGTTTGGGGAATGTTAAGGGACGTTTCCCCCCTCTAGTAAGTATCGTCACTTACTTACAGAGAAGGATTTCCATATGTCCTTCCTTCTTTTATGCTAGAAGGATGCAAGGGAATAAAGACACACACGGAGGGACAGAGATATGTGCGGTGATCCACTGAAGGATAAAGATACTTTCATTAAGTTTTTGGATACCATATCCCAATCTTACCCATTAACACTGTACTCGAGCATTGAATAAGAGAGCAAATTTTATGACCATCCCTTTCCCACCCCCATTCCAGGTCCTTATATAGCCCGTATGCCCCATTGCTGAGCTATTTTTTAGATACTTCAAATTGAAAATTCATGGTATAGGGATTCCCGGGGCCTTCCCTTGAGTTGCCATTTGCGAGACGTATAAACACCCCTTTGAATTGACTCGGGCTGTAGCAGCAGAATATCGATTGATTGACATATCTATACAAACAACGATATAGTAAAGATGGCCATGCTCGACATTTAATTTTTTGAAGCCTCCGGAACGTGAGTTACCTGGCTGCAGCCCAGACTACAGCAGCTCCCACAGGATCTAGAGCTCTGAAGCCACCAATTGTACCATGAGCGAACCGCTCATTCATTTCCCATTCCTAAGGCCTTAATAAAAGTCGAGTACGGTATCATATGATATGTAGCTTCATCTTAGCCAGGCTCAAAACCAAAACCCGGCCCCCGTCCCTGGAGTGTCGGTGGATCCCTAAGTATAGATTTGAGACCAGCAGCTAGGAAGGAGATGCTAGACTAGCACTTCACTACATTTCTAGGCCTTGTTCACAACGAGTGAGACCCCATGACCGCTCTGGTACCACAGGATTAGTACCGCGCTAGTGCAGTACCGTAGAGGCCCAATTACAATAGAAGATCATAAAAATGTGCTATGTAGGGCATTGCGCTTTAGTTTCCTCTCCTAGCAAGATATAATATTCATTTTGCTGTGTCTCAGCCGAGGGCTGAGTTTGCGGTCTTTCCCCTAGCACAGCCTAAAAGGGCGATACACCATCTTGGCAAATCTTTTTCTATTCGGGTACGGTACCGGTATCATACGGAAATTTGCGATACTAAGTTAGTACCGATATACTTTTATAGTTTACCCAAATATGTAATACATAAGTTACATACAGCATAACAAGGCACAACACCACAGTGAGGTCACGGTATCCTAGTGCAGCCACTTCGAAAAGATAATCCGAGCGGCGATAGGAGAACTACTGCCGTTAAGAGGCTCGGAAGCTTCAGATGTATGTCTATTCCAGGGCGGAAGCTAAGTACTTCTCAATCCGCTACGCTACATCGCGAACAAGAAATGGCAACCAGGGTATTGGCGGGCGGGTAAGTATGCAAGTACAGTGCAGTACCAGTGCGCTGTACTGTACAAAACCAACACCAAATACCCAGGCAGGAATAAAAAAGGATTTCAATTAATGCCCCGTATACACCCCACCACAATACTCTCCTCCCCGCTGCCTAGAAACCCATTGATCCATCGATCTGCAGTCCGCGGGCGGAGGGGATATCAGGCAGTCCGTGTGGCCCACGGGCGAGGGAAATAGAAAATGAAGAAAGGGTATCACAGCGCAGCCCCTCCTCTGTTCCTCGCTCTCCTACTCAGCGACGGTAGCTATCCCGACCCCCAAGAGAAGAAAATGCTTTGGTATGATATCACGGAAGAGAAAAAGTATATATAACAAAAGGTCCAAAAGTCGGTGAAAATCACAAAAACGATTACCAGTTGAGAAACCAACAATCAGACATACCATTCCCATATAGACCCAAGAAATCCCGACTAAACCATAATAAATCGATCGACCGCAGCCTCTCCCAGGAACATACGCATACAAGAACATCAGCACCGCAGGCGTAACCTTTGCACTGTACTGTACAGTAGCCTCAAAAATCAAGGTCTGTCCCAGAAGAATAGTCGCGGGTAGCAACACGACAACTGCTCTTCTCCAGCAGCCTTGATAACAGGAGAATTATTTTGGTAGCTACCGCACACAATGGCAATTCAAAACATCCGGAGAAGCTACCGTAGTGTTTCCAGGAGTTTTGTGAGGTCGTGAGTAGTAAATAGAATTCACCGCAAGAAAGGTGTGATGTCTCGGTTGTTTGTGCACGGGTAGAGGCCAGGGACAGAGATAATTTTGGCGACCCCTGCAAGCGTGAGGATCCACAAAGAGAGCTTTCTGAGTAAGTTAAGTCATCGCAGGGCTCCTTGTTACACACGAAAAACAATGGTTACACCAGTATTCGCTGGTGCCTAACGGTCCATCATGGGATTTAGGGAAAAGGTAGGCTGTGATGCAACATGCGCTGAAAAGTGAAAGTTGCACAGAACGATAGGAGAACCCCGATATTCCTGGCTACAGGACTAACCAAGTTATAAATAGCGGGGTCTTGACACAATAACTTCGAAGGGTGGTGCAAAGGGCACAAAAGCACGTCAGGGCCCCAATGTACATGTGAACAAACTATTAGTAAGGCCAGACCCCCCTTTCCAGACCTTCGAAGCCCAACGCGCAAAAGCTATACTTGTATTAATCGGACCTAGGATGCCTATCTATCAGTCCGGCCCCCGGGAGGTAAACCTCATCCGATGATGATAAAAAAAAATACAAATCTGGCAAGAGTTGCTCTCCGAAGGGAGACCAATCTCAATGCGGTGCCTAGTGCATTCGAAGCAGCGCGCAATGCCCAAGAGAAGAAAAGTCATTTCTCCATCCCAATTTGCCCTCTATTAAACCACTCTAATAGCGCTAGACACTCGGCAGGGTTGTTAGTGATGGGCTGTGAGGGGAGGAAAGGAAAGGAGTTAGGGTTACTGTAGGGAAGGCCAGGGTTTGGGGACCGGAAAAGTGCCTTGATGCATCCTGTTTGTTCTAATATCTCATGGGGTTAATATCAACCTATATCTAGCATTCAATGCCCCCAGCCCAGACCACAATGAAAAGAGACCCCAGAGCCCGGGCACTCCCATGATGCCATTGCCCATATGATACCTCGGAAACATAGAGTTGTAAAGGACGAATATTAAGGGGTATCTGCCAGTAGGATATCCGTGGGTACCGCAAGGCCTTGTTATAGAGGAGGTCCGAAGATACAAATCTCTTGCGGATCCGCAACTTTATCTCCCATCTGATCTCGTGCACGATTGGTCGCACACCCACTAAAACCCCTGCGCGTTACTCTCGCATAGCTCTAGTCCCAGTCCGGCAATTCAACTTGGATATCACTTCACGTGCTTGCGTTTCTCTATCATTTGTATAGTTTCCGGATTCGGGACTCCGGAAACTGCTCGAGTACAGTAGTAGTTACTAAATTAGAAGCAGTAGTTAAAAAGTGCTCATCCGAAGTCACCAGCTAATAGTTGTAGCAACCAACTGACTGTTAAAATGTCTCAAGTTGTGACAAGCTCTTAAACTCACACCAGGCTTCTAGCTCTTGGCCACTCGTGATCTTTGAAGTATGGAACGGCATAGCTAACTCAGGTTAGCGCCCCCGCTAAACTAAAGAATTGGGGTGGAACACATTTCCAAGTTCCAGACTTCAAGTAGATATTCGATTATATCTAGTTTGAATACAAAGCCAAACGTGCTACACATGACTATCGGGGCTTGATACTAGTTTTAACATTTTTCCCGATGTCGCAGAAAAAAATGGTGCGAGTGAGTCTGTATGATTGCAAAATATAGAAGTAACATGCCAGACTGGAACAGGAATCTGGAAGGTTAAATGGGGAGAAATTTCCTCCTCACCTCCTTCTCCCCCTCCCCCCTCCTCCGTCTATTTCTCCCTCGATCCCACAAAGTCACCCCATTAAGTAGACATTAGCCCTTAATATCCGCTCAGAACTGTCCGTTCTCTACTCACCTCACCTTCATTCCCTAAAAGATCCCTATTGTTCTGCCACCCATTTATCATTTTGCGGGGCGAGAATTTTTCTCTCTCTAATTAGAAGTGACAGGCCCCCTCCTGCTAGTAACTTTCAGGTGGGATTCAGCGTTTGCAGTACGGTAGGTGGGAAAGAGTCATTCGGGGGCGGTTCTGGCGGACTGTTTGCGTTTCGGATGCAAGGTTGTTGTGCCCAAATACCATAGGCGATTGGGCATGAAGGACGAGCTATCAGGAAGAGAATTAGTTGTGTGGGCCCCAGTTGCTGGTCACTGCTCCGCTCCCTTTAAAATTATACGCAGAATCGGCATGGAATAGAGCAGTGCTAAGCAAACAACTCCACTCACTCACCCTAAGCTCTGAAGACTCTCCCTTAGTACAGTATGGCAATATTATATTAAATTCTCTAATAATCTGAACCGTGTTTCTAACTGATAAGGTGTAAAGAACAAGTGGCAAAACAACTTAAAAATCGGTCAATATCACGACAAATCCCCTTCAGACGGTTTCTAGCCGTGCCACAACCAAGATCCCAGGCCTCCCCTACTTATCGCAAAACTCCCGCGCCAAAAACCCCATCTCTTGTCAAACCGAAAGCCCAAGAAAGTGGTCCGGCCTGCTCCCCACCATACCAGACAGTAAAAGTTCCACCGCCAAACCACACACCCAAGCCTCCCCCAACCACCCTATCTACACAATCTACCAAACCCCGGTCACCCAACCCTCCGCCAAGTCCAACCGATCTGTCACTATGACTCCGGGACCCTTAAGTCAATGTTCCTCCGCAATCGTCTCTTCTTCGGGAATGACGGGAATTTTGTATCCAAGCCGCTCGCTAGATCCACCTCTGGCGGACCACCATCTGGTCCTTCCCTAGTCCCATATCTAACCGGTTCCTTCAAGACGTCATCAAGAGATGTTGCCAATTCTTCTCCCGTCATCAACTTGCCATCATCAAATCTATTTATAACTGTTTTCAATATCTCCGCAGTGGCCAGATGGCTATCGTCTCTGGTGTAGACCCCCCTGCAATAGCCAAGGACAGCTAGGATCGCCAGGATTTGGCCGCCGGTAATGCCAACTGCTATGAGAACAACGCGGGCCCAGTTGACCTCCAAGTTTGTATGCAGGTATGCGGTCCCAGTGGTCTGGTTGGGGTGTGGGCCTCTTGCGTACTTTGGCAAATCGTTATTTGCGTGGATTATGGCGAGAATCGGTAGCCGAGCTACTAGGCCAGACACCCAAAGGGCGTAACTCTTCCGAGCTACCTCATCCCTAGGGCTATTACCGAACAAATGACTGCAAAGGGCGATTGCACCATCGTCGGCGGAAGGTCTATTCAAAGTTCTACCAAAGACATTCATATAGACATAATGCCCGCCGTTTCCTTCAGTGAAATCCTCGTAATCACCACTGCCCACGGTCAGCAGCCGGTATAGCTCTGTGGGGTGAAATATCCGTTCATGAGGTGGAACATGCTGAGATTCATTGCCCCCAACAGTCTCCGTTAGAGTCGGCCAACATTCCCAGGCAACCTCTTCGCATACAATATCTAGTGACAGGATGATGTTAGCGCTCCGGGACCTTGACATGGCCATGGGTGATCAGTACTGACAAATCTGGGGATATACACCGCTCCCTCCCAAAAAGTCTAGGAATGACACCCAGTCGGTCATGGCGAACTGGACGGTGTCGGTTTGATTCGAGAACCGTAGTATCTCCGATACCACCTCAAGACTGCCCTCTTCACCCCAACCTAATCCGGAAAATCCAAATTTAGTCTCCCCGACACTTGCGCCATAGATTATGGAGTCATGGCAAAAATCTTACATACTGAATGGTCCGGTCCTATTCCCATTGCCCCAGCGCCAGTACTGACCATCACCAACCTGGATCAAGCTGCAGTTTACAGTGGAGTGGACGGTGCGGTTTGATGGCGTGGTGTAGCCCCCATTGAAATCCTTCAAATCGTAGGAATATTCAACAGTGTTTTTGCCCACTTTCAGGGTAGCGTTTCTCACTTGGAGATCGGACTCCAAATAGGGGCTTATGTCATCACCCAATTTAAATTGGGACTTATATTGAGCCCAAACAGGGATTTTTGCGTACTTCTGTAAGCCATTCCACACCGAATTCAGGAACGCTTATCAGAGATGTTAGCTCCAGTTCATTAGGTCTAGGGGTTTCGGTATCCTTGCCTACTCCACTGTCACCCGTCTCCGTGTTAGTGTCGCCGTCCCCGCCGGGGAAAATTTTACCTGTCCATAAAGCCGATGTCCAATCTGTCGCAAGGATTGGGTACCGGATCCCAGTTTCATCCGTCATGTTGTAAGCTAAACCGAAAACAGCCACACTCAATCTCCCAAATAGATTTGCGACGAGGTATGCGGTGACAATAAAGGTCGTTCGCGATATCCTCCACTCTCGGATGTGTCTCTTGATGAGCCGCATCGAGCCGGCTGGTGGAGACATCCCCAGTATCGAGTCTACCTATCTTAATGGTTAACAAAGGCCTATGTGGAGAGTCGTGCTACCACACATCTTGCATTTGGTACATGGTTCGGGCAAGCAGGGGCCACCTAAGCATGGAACCCAGGTGGCCCAAGAGTGATCCAAGACCCAAACTGGCAATGGCGGTGAGCAGGATCGATAGTGTATTGAAGGACCGTTGCTCCCACTTGCTCAATTGATGTATCCGGGAAAATGCCCAAAGAGAGACCACGAGGGAGGCGAGGGAAAAGGAGGTTAGAAAGAATCTCTGCACAAGTACAACGATGTTCCGGTGGGACTGGTTCTTGCTGTTGAATGGCTTCAGCGGCCGCTTCTTGGAGCCTTCTATCAAGGACTCCCCTACACTGTTGCTGTTGGGTAAAGTTGGTCGGCCATCAAATCTCTTCGGTAGTATATGGTGATAGGGCATGGTGTAGAGTGAGTAGAGCTCTCAAAATAACTGCAAAGATCGGGTTTAGGACGCCCGTAGAAACCCAAGTCCTAGACATTACCAACACCTATAAGTAGAGGTCTTCAAGGTCACACAACCCTCAACGAAGGCCGACAGCGTGGGCCCCCAACACCAGTATACTGCTGATTAGTAGATGGCTTTTCACAAACGCATCTCAATCATCCAAACAACGGAAGGTGTAGAAACCTCGTTTCTAGTAGAGTAGCCCCCTGCCGCTCTTGTGGCACGGTTCGGCCCGGGACAGGTGTGCAATGGTGTAATTTGACTCTGTGGCCGGGTGGAAGTGCAGCTATAGGTGCTCGAGTACGACACTGGCTCAAAAGAGATATTCCGCTGAGGGCGCCGGGACGGCATTCGGGCGGTATCATACCACACTCACAATCCACGCGAAGCAGAGGGGGTTGCTGTAGTCCACGAAACCCTATCGTATTGGCCAATCCACCTAGACACCTTTGGCAGTAAATACATTTTCTGGGTGCCCTGCCACTGAAAAGATGGGCGAAATACTGGAAACCAGACCACGTATCTTGGTATGAATAACTGTGCCTCAAACCACACCTGGCAATAGTAAAAACCATCGCCAATAACTAACCTTCTCACCCCACAGGCTTTTGCCAACAAGCCAGACCCCCACCTTCCAAACCTTTATCCTGAATAGTTGAAGCCCTTGCGCAGCATCTTATAGCCAACAATACACGAAAGCTATCCCCGACCAAGCCGAAGAGGAAAACATATATCTACCTCGGATAAAATACCGGTACTTCATTGGTACGATATCCTGAATAATATCCTTGTGCCATCGATGCGCCCTAGAGTGCAAAAATTAACCCCGCAATTATTTTAGGAGCAAGGCAGTTGTGGTGGACACGCATACAGTCATCATAGTACAGAAGGATCGATGTAAGGGGTGATACCCGTTGAAAAAAAAAAACTCTTGGCACCAAGATATATATACAAAACACCACCATTATTGCCATCACCATCCGGCAACAGTGACAACAAGATGTGCTAAATCTAATGAACAGAGTAGCAGGAGGAGCTCGTGTGAGATAGGTTTTGGGTTGTGAATTGTGGCATGTCCTAGGCGGGCGGGCGTGCGGAAAGTGCTGTGCTGGCACTGTCAGTGTACGGTGACGCAGATAATCAAGCAACTATTGGGCACCAGAGCTCTGGATCGGGCAATTGTCACTTTTAGACTACTTACTTCCAGGGAAACCGTATCAAACTGCAGTTGTTTACAGACAAGCACAGTAATCAAGAACTAGGAAACTTACCGGGAGCCTAGATGATATACTAAATGCAACAGCTGCCTCCTAGCCATAAACCCACGATGCAATCACGATCGCACAGTGTGGCATGCCGCCTCAGCAATATCTTAGGCAGACTTACATCAGCCCTGGCAAGGGAAATTCAGTGTCAAGTGAACCCTATCACTTCACCCAAAAAAGAAGGAAAAAGATTTTCTACCGTATCACACCATACTGCAGAAACCGAATAGCTACCCCCCCCCAGGAGACCGACGCCACTCCTCCCGCTTAAGCTCAAAACCTATCATGTTTTTCTCCCACCTTTTACCCCCCTCCCGCTTCCCTCCCATCGGTCCCACGAGTCCCTTTTCCCCTCAGTATTTTCTAGGGGGCCGGCCAATCCAAGTGGGAAATGCCTAAGCTACCAGAGCCACCTCATTCGCTAGTACCGACCGGTAATATCCTCATGTCCCGAGGCTGTTGGGGACCGTTCCCTCTACTCTGGGACCACCAATTCTCATCTGCAGAGAAGGCTCGCCAGACACCTTCCCCCGTTATCCGGGAATGAAGCAAGGGGGCAGAGACACATACGGAGGGAGAGAGATATATGTGGCGATCCATGGAGGGGTCAAGATACTTTCGTTTCGTTTCGTTTCGTACACTGTACCCCACCCTCCACCATTAGCACGGGTACTCGAGTGTTGAACAAGACAGCAAAGTTATGACCATCCCTTTCTTACTTCCTTCCCAAGCTCTAATGCAGCCTGTTCCCGTAACTCTCTCCATGAGACATTTTCTAGATATTGTGCATTAAGAGTCCATAAGGATGAGGTTCTAGAAGCCTTAGTTCGAGTCGTCTCCTCTTACGATACCCTCAGCAAGAACTCGAATAAATGGACCATGTGCTAAGTAGTCCAATGTTTCCTCCTCTCAAAAACCCCCCATCCCCTGGCCGAACCATCGGTGGACCCCCGATCCTGGACCTTCGACCGGTAGCTAGTAGGAAGGCGCAAGAGTAGCACCACACAACACCGCCGACTGTTTTTCTCCTACCGAGTGAGACCCCATGACCGCCCTAGTATCATACCTCAGAACTAAGTACTATATCGGTATAGTATCATACCAACGTAAAAATAAAAAAATAAAAAACCACAAATACCGATATGATAGAAGAAGCGGATGCGCTATAATAGGACTTTGCGCTGTGGTTCGCCCCCCTCAGTAAGACGCTACGCATCTTCCTTTTGTACTGTCTCAATTGAGTGTTGAGTTTGCGGTGTTTTTCCCCTGGCGTAGACGGGAAGGGGAATTTCCAACGTCTAGCAAAATTTTTCCTTCCTGATTTTGTGATAAGTAGCGCACAGTGCCACAGCACGCCACTGAATTATTACACTACTACAGTCTTCTGGTTTGACTGTTCATCAGAGATAATACTCGCGCGGCCGAGTTGAATTCGGACACCTCATTCCAGCGGTGGTTGATACATTAATACTATGTGCGTGCCTAGTCAGATGATGAAAAGAATTAAATTAAGGTGCAGGGGCACAGGATCAGACGTAACTGACTATAGGTCCAGTACCTACGCCTGTAGACTATAATTGGGTTGGCGGACAATGCGGAATGATATCCCACCACCTGTTTTCTCCGGTATATCAAACCATACCTGTACAATATAATCCTTGCCACTCTAGCGCTGTATTCCTATTCGTTTGTTGATCCCCTGAAATGAGGAGTCCGGCCCCAACTCAGACATGCGAGTACGTTACTACTGTACACGCGGCAGTAGGAGCGACCCGCGCGGTTAAGACGCAAAGAAGCTTCCAAGGGATATCTATTCCAAAGCGTAAATGAAATGCCCCCTAACCATTTACGCTACAACACAGACAAGAAATGACAAACAAGTGTTAATGGGTAGGTAAATACTATTGTGCTGTGCAAAACTAACACGAGATACACCGAGAGAGAGAAGAGCCGTGGTTGATGCTGCATAGGTGCCCCTCCACCGCATTCCCCTTACCTCTGCCTAGCCATCCATCAATCCATCAATCCATCAATCCACAGTCCACAAGCAAACCGGGTATCAAACAGTAGATAAAAGCCTCACAAGGAGAAAAAGTATTACAATACAACAGCCCCTCCACTCCGCCCTCGCTCGTTCAACAAATGCTAACTAACCCAACCCCCGACAGAAGAAAAGCTTTAGTAGGATATCACTGGAGAGAAAAAGAAAAGAAAGAAAGAAAAAATTCACAAAAGAGAGCCTCTGCTAACCCAACACGCGGACACATAATTCTGATATAGACCTAAGAAATCCCAGTGAAACCAAGCCAATTGATTAATCAATTATAACCTTTTCCCCGGCACAAACACATACAAGCACGTTAGCGCCGCGACCATGAGAATGGTAAGCGAAAGGATCCACAAAGAACGCTTGCTGAGTAAACGACGGACGAAAGGCTCCTTGACACGTGTGAAGGACATAAGGGTGTACTCGCTAATTCCTATCAGGCCCATTATGGGATCTAGGGAGTATTGGTGGGCCATGAGGCAGTAGACGCCGATCGAGAAAGGGAGGACGAGCTGCGATTGTTTAATTTATTAGTTAGCGGTGGCGGTATGGGAGTTTGGATTGGCGAGTATATGACTAACCCATAATCTGGTACTCTTTGGTTTGATATCCAAGAATATGAGTGCGAAAGCAGCCCAGAAACCACCAAACATGGCAAGGAGGCCTATGATCAAGCGAAGGGTAGCACTGGGGGGCACGAGATTTCCTAAGGCTTTCGCTCTCAAAAATCCTGGAAAGGCGTCCCGCTCCATGGCCTGGAAAACGTAGTCCTTCGCTTCATCAAAAATGGCAGGATCGTCACGCGCCTCCACTTCAATCGCATTGGAAATCGACTGCAGGATGACTTCTGGCAGGACAATCTCGCGCTCAGCGCCCCGCAAGAGGAAAGTGTATAGAATTTTTTCGGCAGAAGCACGCAGATCGTTCCTCGTAACTGTGTGGCCGGGAGAAGTCGAGTCGGTATTGGGATCAAGCGCGGAGGAGGACATGAACGATGGACGACCTGTTCCCGGAGTTTCCAGCGTGTCGCCCATGGAGCGGCGGGCGGGAGAGTCGGATGTGCCTTCAGAACGAAGGAATGCAGAGAGCCGCTGATCGTCGCTCTTCATTTCAAAACCCTCATCACCTAGGAGGTCTTCCGGAGCTCCCGATGACCTCTTGCTGCCCTTGTCTAGATCAGGCGTAGAGATCAATACACTCCGGCGGAGTTCGCGGACATAGTGTCGACAAAGCGAGATGTGTTGAGCGACGTCAAGCCTGGACAGACAATCAAACGTTAGCCAGAACCTCAAGCCACTGCCCCAGCCAACGGCTGAAAATAACGACTCCTCCTCTCTCCCCAGGCAGTAGAATGAACCCCCCCCCCCCCCCCCACCACGGTGACATACCAGAAATCTAGATAATCCACAGAGCGTTGCTGATCTCTCATGTAAATGTAAAACGAGAACAAATCCACGGGTGGTAAGGTTCTCCTGCTGAGAACCTCAAACAAGGTAGGAAGACGATTACGCTCACCCGTCGAGCTCATTATGTCCCTCTGGGCGGCTGCGGGAATATGTTGCTAAAAAGCTGTAGATTCCTCAGTGTGATGCGAGTATATGCCGACACTATCGAGCACCCGACGATGGTGGAAAGTGGTCGAGGGGTGAGGGGGAAGATTTGTTGTTGGAACGGTGAATCGGGTGTGTCGATGGTTGGGAGCGATGAAAACGACGGTCGCAAGGCAGGAACGAGGCCCGGGCCAGCAAGCGAGCGAGTACAACACAGCTGTACCGTACAGGGTACAAACGTGCGTGACCGTAACAAATAAAGCAAAAGGAGGAGAAATGGAGAAACAAACAAAGGAATAGATGAGTAGAGACCGGTCAATCAATAGACTGATTAAGAGCAGAGGAATACCTGTTTCAACCCCCTTCGTCGGCGGTCCAATTGAAGTACGGGTAGCATGTGGTAAGAATCGGAGGAGGGTGAAAGGGGAGAGGAAAAGGAGATTGTGGAATACACTGGCAGCACAGGTATCTAACCTCTCATCAGCACCAACCCTCACCAGACAAATAAAATCCTCGGCTATCGTGGATTTACATCAGCGCACGAGACCATACTCCGGTATCTCTGCCCAAACTTTGAAATGCTTCAAGATGGCAGAATTCCTCTCATGTAGAAGCTCAAATACAGGCCCAATCCCCCGCATAAACAGAATCACACAATAAAACGGTTTAGATCTTATCACCCGTCAATGTTGGACAGTAGGAGCACGAGTAGGGTGCCCGACGCCATCTCCGCGTTGGAGATCAAAGCCCGTTTCTAACGGTTGACAACAAAAAAAAAGGGTTTCCCGGTCCTGTCATGTGACTTGGCCTCAGGCTGTAGCACGAGGAAGCAGGCACAACACTGTTACCCGCAGACACAAGGCCAGGAGATCGATGTCTGAACGATGGCGCCGGAAAACTAAATCCGCAGTCCACTTAAGACAATGCCTTCGGAAAAAAAAAGAAAAAAAAAAACAATCCTCACTCATTGAACCATCTGTACCGGTACTCGGGTCGACACTCTCTTCCGTTTATCATTCCAGTATCCCAGATCGTTTCTATTTTATCGGTGAAACCACAAGCAAACGCCGCAGCCGAAACCGCCCAGCCGGTGGCTTGCCAATAGCCTAAAGATCGCGGAACGCAGCATATAGACACCAAGCCCCAATCGCGGTGCTAACCTCCTACAAGTAAATGCCCTTGAGGGAAAAATGAACCCCACAACATCGCTGATTAAATAATTACATTCACACATGGAAGTCATAACCAGCCTCTCTATTCTGATCGGATTGGACCGCACGTGTAGCTTTCTCAGTCACCTGGGACCGTACAAATGCTACGGTTTTCGAGTATAACATGCCCATAAGGTGCTATCGGTACCACATTACATTCAGATTCCAGCCACAAATTTGTCGCTTTCTTGGCCAGAATGTGCTATCTCCGATCACAATTTACTACTCGAGTACCGATACAGTGTTAAAGAATGTACCGTTATTGTAACACGGCACTAGTGCAGTACCACACACCCAATCCACATGTGAACCAGGTAGGGCAGACAACTGGTGGGCCATTCGGGTGTTTAAAAGAACTGTGAATGTGAATATAGCGGCACGAGACAATTGTGCATCTCACCATGAGAACCCACAAGCTCCCGTGCCCTCGTGACCGCAGAAAAAAAGCTGCCATTTAATTCAGACACCAACTTTCTCAACTGGACCTTCCACCACCACCATCATCACCACCATCATCACCACCATCATCCCCTGATAAGGTTTCTTTTCATCTACCTAAGTCATAGATCCAACATTATTCCTTCTTGTCACTTCTATCCATCCATCCATCCATCCATCCGTCCATTCTTTCCTCTTACAAATCCTTCTCCATATCCCTAAGTGAGATGAAGAGGTGCACTTCCGCAGGCACCAGGAATAGTGTGTTTCGTAGTACGCTTAACAAGTCTGGATGGGCTACTCTTGGGAATGGTTTCCGTCGATATGGCGTATGTTGCGATTGCGTGAGCAGCCGCCTTGGTGTTCTGGATCCAAGCGTCCATGTTCAAGTTGCTGATGTTGTCGCCCGCCTTGTGGTAGTGGCTGTCGACTGTATATCGAATTGGTTAGTTCGGGGACGGCTAACTTTCAGTTTTTTTGCGTTGACTTACAAGCAGCACCAACCTTTCCGCCCCAGAGCACTGCCTCCTCAGCAGTCTTGTTACCCTCTGCTCCTGTGAAGAGTCCACCCACGGGAATTCCAATTTCCATGAACGGCGCGTAGTCTGAGCGGCCGCTGAAATTTGTGGGACGGGTCGGGAGTCCGACCTTCCTAAAGTAACCCTCAAAGAGATGCTCAATAGCGCCGGATCCTATAGGTGGAGTATCATTGAACGCGGACCCATCACCGTCGTAAATAAAGTATCCAAAGTTGGGGGATGCAATCATGTCGAAGTTGAGGTACAGGGCGATTTTGGCACGTTCGTCTTCGGGGAGGTTATCGATGTAATAACTAGATCCAATGAGGCTGGAGCTCATGTCAGATTGGGGTGTATATTCGCAGTGCCCAACGGACTTAAACATACCCAAATTCCTCGGCAGACCAAAAACCGAAGCTTACGGCATTCTTGACTGACCACTTAGTCAATTGCAGAGCAATCTCGAGGATTCCAATAGACCCGGAACCGTTGTCATTGATACCAGGGCCGGCAGAAACCGAATCCGTGTGGGCTCCGGACATGATGACATTGCTCTGATCCCCTCCCTTGGTAGTGGCGAGAACATTATTGGTGTACTTGACGTCAATTGTAGCGTTGACAGATAAACTACCCTGAACCGGCCCCGCCTCAACAGCAGCGACCAAGGCAGCCCCGTCAGCCCCAGAGATGGCTGCAAGGGGAACATAGGGGCCTTCTGGGCGGGTGAGGTTAGAGAGAGTACCGCCACCAATCAGGCCAGGCAAATTGTTGTAAATGACGGCACCGGCGGCTCCAGCGGCGCCTGCTCGGGCAACCTTCAAACCGAATTGGCAGTCTCCACGGGATATCAGAGCGATCTTTCCCTTGACTTCAGGGTAGTCACTCTGTTGTTGTTGATGGTTAGTGAAAGAATTCTCGCATCGAGAAATTTTTAAACATACCTGGTCACAACCAAGATTGGCTACCTTAACTAGCTGGGCTTTTATAGTAGATCCCCCGGTAGACGGCGAGTAGGTCATGTATTCCGACTCATATACCTTCGAGAGGGCAGAGAACGATGCATTCCCCTCCGAGTAGATATAAGTGAAGGGCTGCTTCTCGACGTTATAGTACCCAGTGGCCACAAGAGTATCATAAAGATAATCCACTGTCAAGTTGTGGCTAGCGGAGCCAGCAACACGATTCCGCTCAGGTGTGGTGTCCGCGAAACTCTGGTACTTCTTCGCGTGCTCGTACAACACCTTCCTTTGCAGGACTCGCCTCAATTTATTTGACTCCACAAGACTAGCATTGTAGGGATCAGAGGGCTGAACATCGACCACCGCTGCGCTGACGAGCGAGGAAATGAAGAAGACACCGGTGAACAACCTCATCGTGAGGAATTGAGGGGACGACAATAGTTCTGGGGGGAGAATGGATGGAGAGGTCGGTGGGGGGACAAGAAATACCCATGAGGGCTACTATCCCCCTCTTTTTATAAGATGAGTTAAGTGATCTGAGGTCTCGACCCACGACCGGTGGGAGGTTGTGCTCAACCTGGTAGCTAAACATCTCGCTGTGCCATCCGAGCGATTTCGCCTGGTAGTGGGATACCTACGCAATACAAAGCCCTATATTGGACACCTCCCCTGCGGGGAACAGTTAATCTGGAAGACGGCGCCATGCAGCTCCCAATGGGATATCGTGCAGCAAAGTGCGCGAGCATATTGGTTTTGGTGGTAGTACGTTGTGTCAATTGATTCAGCTACTAGGAAAACAATCTGAGAAAAAAAGAAGACTTGACCTGTCCAGCAGGGATGCGGCGGACCTTTCAGATACCAGTATCTGCAGACCGCCCGTTGCGCCTGCGTCTATCTGTCCCGTTGTTTCTTTTTTCCCCGGCATACGGTAGGGAAACCGCGGTTTCTACAAATCCTCCATTCCTTCTCCCTCCTCCAAATTATTTTTTTTGGCATGTGGAACCGGCCTAGAGAGCCCCGTACCATGGAATGTTTACCCATCACAAGAACAGTTTGCCGGTTCGCCCACCCTATGCTGGTGTCGTATGCCTTGCCCGTCCCAGAGCTCAGAAAAATAGTACCAGTATTCAAAACGTAAAATTGTGAAGTGAGAAATGTTGAGCACCTCTTTCACCTCTCAGTGTACTGCGCTAGTACGGTACAGTATATAGTTTACCTTCAATTCTCGAGGTAAGTCAACCAAAGCAGATTGGTAGTGTCTGAACAGTGCTCGTGACAACATTAACTTATTATGTTATCCTTCCATAAAGCGATAAAACTCCCGCTACTGCCAAGATTCTTAATGTCGGGCGTTCCTGTAGAATTCCGCCTATATCCATGAATCTAGATTTAGCAGCGGGAGTTGGGGGAATTATTGGGGATCGGCTGCGCCGAGGGTGCCTGTACGAGTACGAGTACAGTACTGTACTACGGTAGTACCTGGCAACGTTTTGCGTGCTGAAAAAACAAAAACAAAAAAAAACACAGCACCCGTTACCTAGATAGACACACCATCCCTACTCCAGAATACAAGTGTCATACGCCAACAACCCCTAGTCTTGCCATCGGTCCTCAATCGATAAGGTACAAGTACTCGAGTACTCGTACAAGTACCGTACTGCGTGCATACAACGACCTCCTATATCCCAAGTAGATCATGAAATCAAAAAAAAACCCCTCTCGGCCTTCAGGCAGCGGAGCGGAGGGCAGTTTCGACTGCGAGCACCCGGTCCCCGGATATTGCACTACCCCTTAAAAAAAACCCCCCTTGCTGTTCGCTCTCAGATTATCGGTGGAAGCGCTGCATAAGCACGCATTAGGTTTAGTTCAGCAGGTTGAGGGAATTGCGAAACCAATAAGATCAAATAGATCCGAGGTGCTGCTGTAGCGCTATACCACGCTAGGAAAGCGATAGCCCTTTTCACGAGCTTTTGTATTTGAATCCGGAGATTAATGGCCCCCCTAGTACTGTACAAGCAGCAAATCACAAGAGTTCTAACGGCACCGTATGCGATTTACTGAATCATACGGTATCCCTTGACTCTTCCCTACCCACGGGCCACAGTACCATACTCCGGGTACCAGCGTCCGATATTCCATTCTTGAAGTAGAGTACCGTAGGACGATTACTGGATGAGATTCACTGTAAACGGCTTCTTGCTCAGCAACACGGCCCATTATGCGGACTCGTAAATTGCCACACCCGGTAAAAGTGGGGATTGCTCTGCCGAGCATGCTAGCCTTGGCTACGGAAATTATATCTGGGACCCGTTCAAAAGGTGCGCGTGTCCGGGGTTTGAGGGCAGATAACCGATGGTTCTATGAACTTCTATCATATGTACTGATCCCGTGAACCCAGGTATTCCCTATGCCTATGCTAGGATAAGGATTTTAGAAGCCACTACTCCCACGCTGGTATCATATGATCCTATGTGCGTTGCTGTGCATACGAGGGCCCAATGTCTAGCCCTAAGCCTCTCGCTGATGGTTTCAGCCGCCCGAGTACCGGTAGCCTCCCACATCGGCCCCAGAAGCTTGAATGCAGGTACCGGCCCAGAAGTTTAGCCGCGATAGGCTTAAAAGTCACCGACAGGCACCCCGCATTTCTATCATTGAGGCGCAGTGATTAAACCGCGGCCGAGTCCCGCTTGCTATCTCAGATCGACTACCGGTTCTCCAAACTATCATATCAACGTTTGGCGCGACCTGCGAGAAACCGGAAGCAACCAGTGGTCACAAGAGTGGTTGAGGCATTAGGATACATACCGGTACAGCACCTGCTTTCATGGCAGGAGGCATGGCATAGAGACTTGGAAGTAATATGGCCGAGGTGAACGGTTGACGTCTAGTTTCGACAAGCGTTACAAGAGCGATTACCACGATGCTTTCATCAAGCCATACATGCTCTGCCGGGTAATTAAGTGCTGCCCGCGGTCTATTTTGGCTATTTGAGAATATTGAGAGGAGGGAGCCGACGGATTGTGACCGGAGGTTGTGCTTGCGGATAGTGATGATATTACGGCTGCAGTACAGTACTAGCACTATACTAGCGCGGGTATGGGTAGGTAAATGAATATTATACCGTGGAAATGATCCCCGATCCTGACGATCTAGGTCGGGTTATGTGAAGGCCTATTACCGCACCTACGAGCTACCGTACGGCTAGAGTGTTCCATCCCCGTGTAAGTATCAGGCAGGCAGGCGAAAACGTGATGGGGAGTTGAGTATTGTATCGGTATTAGGCAATGTTTTCCACTTGAAAGCAGGAAATATGTGTTGCCACCCAGAGCAAAAGACATTATCTACCACGAACCTCTTGCGCTACCCGTTCTAATATTAGGCACAAGCCTTACTACCTAGGGCTGCAGCTACCCACCAAATTTTCTACAGGTATGATACAGCGGGGATCGGGAGATTAAGGTTTCGCTTGGCTCGCTGTCGATGGAGCAGTTCGCTGATATCCGATAGGTTTGCCAAAACCCCATTTATCATACGAAAAACTGAAAAATGCCAAGTATCCGGATTGATAACCTTAGTTTCTAGCGTGTCACTTTATGTCAGAGCACCCTTTAATATGCCATTATTATCGGCGTTTAATATGTACTCCCTTCTGAAAATTTCCTAAAACACCTTTCCGAAACGACGATGGGCCACAAATCACAATCGATTCAAAAGGTATTTTTGAATAGATGGACTCCTCAATCTTCAGTGAGCCAAACGAAACCTAAGACTTCTATAATATGAAAGGCAAGCAGAATCATCACATACCGGTACCGGAGATCATAGCGAGCGGTAGAACAACATTAATTTCTCAAATTATTACGGAGACCTGTATAACTAACTCACAGGTTCCCACCGACATCATATCCCCGTTATTACCTCCGCATAAACAAACGGATGAATGAACAAATGGTCGAAACAAAGCTAGACGACGGTTCATCATGCGAGTGCCAGAGCTGTACAGTACGGTACAATCTTTGTAGGGGACTCATACAGTAAACCTCTCTTTAAACCATCACCTAATCTGCTTGTTGCACAATATGGAGTCCCCGCATTCCCTGGTGGGCAATAGGCATAACGGAAATTGGACCTACAATACCTTGCAGCACTGGACCCCACCCCTGACGTCTGGTAGTACAGTAACGCACTCGAGTCCCACTACAATACGAATAAACACCCCCCCGTCCAAATTCGTAATACAAGCATAAACTCGGGATCCCGGAAATGACATCGGCTGTCCCACCGTACTATCATACTCTATCATCAGGGATAACCCGGGAAGTTCAGGTTGTGCAGTAAAGATTCCCGCCCTACTACTACTACTACGACTCACTACAGTCCGCTTAGAAAACCAATTGTGGTCGTTAACAACAGAAAATTAAAAAAGACTACCTGCCCCCCCCCCCGCGACCCACGACATCCACCAGGCGGACAACGGCCCCCCCAGGTCATATGCTGTGATCACAGGGAACGGCAGTATAACCTCAGATACCTCTTCACCTTCCACATCTTCTCAACCACCACCACATGTCCCGTACTTGTTCAACACCAATGGGAACTATGGTGTGCTATTGCCCGACTTTTGCCATTAGCGCAGTCGCATTGCTAAACCGTACTCTATGCACCAGCACTGACCGAATATCACTAGGAACTATAAGGGGGCCATAGAGAACATCAAGTGTGTTACTAAGCACCTTATTGTTGAAGAGTCTCATGCGAGGGGGAAGAGGTTGGTTGAGGTGAGTGCTCAGTGTGAGTTACGGTATGAGAATGTTTGCGGGGGTGGATCTTATCGTGGGGTTGAAGTGTGCTGAGGAAGGGCCCTTGAAGGAGTAGCATGGGGAGGATGGGAGCGGGTTTTGCGACATACAAGTTACTGGCGAGTATTGAACTGTCCGGGGTAAAGAGGAGGTGTGGGTGATGGTCGATTTGGTATTTTTTGCTCACAAACTAGTGTCCTCTTGCGATGATGGGGGCATAGCAGCGAGGAAGTTGTTCCTTCAGGCGTATGATATGGGGTAATGGACTCCCTTGGGAGTACTCGAGTATGTTCTATGCTGAGGTCCCGGAGATCGCTCCGCGGTAGAAGATTAACTTAATAGGATTTTTGGCCTCGGTTCTCTCTCCCTCCTTATCTTCCTCCTGCTGGTCGCTTTCTGGCTAGCGGGCAATGAATACAGTATGCTCCACCAAAGCATCTGGAACTTCATATTGACATACAACCCCCTCCCCCCAATGGTTTTGCAAAACCTAACATTTCTAGTGCAATATCTCCCAAACATGCATCCCCCAGACTTCCCAATTCCTCCAAGGCCGAAAAGCTGCAGCTGGAAGACTCTCGTGCCCCCACACCACCGCATAACCCTTTCCTATTGCACTAGCCTCGCCCCCCTCCCACCCCACGACCTAACCACCATCTCCAAAAAAAGTACAACCCCAACTATTACCGATACACTTCATAGGACTGCCCGGGGGTGGCCTATACATGATGGGTCGGACCGAATCCCAGCACCCTTCAAAGGAAGGTGGATTCACACCTCGCAGAGCTATTCCGGTGCTGGAGGGAGTAAAAGAGTACTCTGTGAATTGTTCTGGGGTGTGAGTAATTTGGAGAATGTGCTTACGCCTTTCGCGGGAGTCAGCCTATTAGGCTTATTGTCAGGGATTGGGATAGTCTATCAGACAAGGCCACCTGCAGGTATTCCAACTTTGCCAGTATTTTGGGTTGCGTGTAGTAAGCGGTTATGGGAAGCGCACTTTGGAGGTTAGAGATGCGTCTTTGGTAGAACAATGGCTGCCATCTGACTTGGTGAAGGACAGGATAGATTTAGAGTTGAAGTCAAGGTTGAAGATAGGGCGGATCTGGTCATTGTTGGTTTTGAACGTAGAGATATTGGAACCTATGGGTTGATTTGACCAGGCCCGGGAGTGTGAGAATCGTGACTAGGAATGGCAGGAACAGTGGGGAAGAGGGCTGTTAGGGGATGGGTTTCGCATAGGGCGAAGTTATAGAGTTGTGTAGACAGATAGGTAATATAATGCTGAGTTGAGGTGAGGGCAGTGTACGTTTCGCAGATTATCACTCCTCTGGCCAACCACTTGGATGCATGCGGTTGTTGGCAACTTTTCGAGGCTGCAAAAGTACCAATTCCTGGCTCTGGCCTCCTTTTTAACCCCCAAGGGCAAAATCTTGAGGGAACCAAAACTGAAATCTTTTCCCTTAGTTCCTGCAACCACTGTTGGTCCTTGGTATAGAGCTACTTCTGTTTGATACCTGGGAAGGAGAGTAACATTAAGCCTGCATAATGGATATCACGAGTTAAGACCTAATGCCGCACGGCGACATGATATCACAGCATAGACTAGAGTTGGCTCTTGGGTCTTCTGGCACAAACACCTGGACATACCCAACATTCCTGATTCCTACGCTGGTGATAACAGGTATCTTACTAGTTTGGATAACTGAGTTCCCCACCGAGCGTAGTACGGTGTACATGCTTCGAGATAAGCCCATCCGTTGAACACATTGTTTTTTTCAAAAAGAACCACCTTGTAAAAAATATAGCTGTGCTTTGCTCGCTTGGGTTATTGTTCGAGCGAAGTGCAGGGAATGCGCACCGCGGTCGACCGGCATTAGGTTGACTGCTAGGAAAGTGCCTTACCTTACATGGTTTGGGGACCAGAATAGTCTTGTCTTATGCTAACATTAGGATTCACTCATGTAGAAAGGTCCGCCGGGGTTTTTTATTTCTCTTAGTGGAAGGTTGAGGGGTTGTTTTTGGTGTCTAGCACCTCCGGTGCATCGCGCCTACGGCAAGCGGGGCGAAGATATAACGGGACAAGCGGTGTTACACACCGAAATATGGAGTTTTTTTCGTATTGATATCAACCGGGAGTTTAGCATTGAGGTGAGAATACCTTCATACACTGGTTTTACTGCTTCTTTCCCCTTACGATCTCGTCTTGGGAATCTAGATATTGTTTCTGATCTGTAAGTTAATTCGAGTGGGATGCCAACTTGAAAATCTTCGTATTGACACACCAAAAAGAAAGACTTTCTAGAGCGGTTTTATGGAGGTGATATAAATTCTAGGGGTTATAGATTGAGACTTATTCGACAAGAAATTTCTGAAATCGGTGTGGGTAATTCCTGGAGATAGTTGGGGTTATCTATGCAAGGCCTTGGATTTTAGGTATTTTTGGGTGGTTTGTGATTGCCCTGAGTTCCCGTTTCCTGGTGACAGAATGCCTTTGTCCCACAATTTCTCATCTGTGTGCTTGTGAGAATGAAGTTTATGTGGTCACTTGCTGCCGTGGGTATTATAGTCTATAATACTGTAGGATTCATATTAGGCAACGGGTTGGTGAGAAGTGTGGATACAATTGACTAGTGACAAAGGTGCGACCAGTTGGAGCATTTGGGTTCAAACAATTGTTCAAGTATCATATAATATCATACTCGAATACCTGTATGGGAAGTACTGGTAAACCACTCAACCTAACCATTCTTGTTTTGTTCTCGTTTCGCCCTGCACATTGGGCTGCACGAGGGCACTACTCGAGCACCAGCTAGGCCCCACTCGAGACCTGGGGCCTGGGTGTTTTCTCACTGTAACGCGCTGCTCTTTCAGGTGTTTTGTGCGATTATTTTCCTTTCCCGCTTGCTTGCCCTCCCCTCGCCTTTCCACGGTTGCCGAGATTTTCGCTAATTTAGTGGTGGGAGGTTAGCTTCCGGCAAGCAAGGAAGCGTAATTGTGGCTTATACGCGAAGGGTGGCTTGAATCCCTTGGTCTCGCGTTTTTCTCCCTTCTCTCTATTCCGATAGGGTTGGGGTGGGGATTGGAACTGCTGTCCGATCGTCAAATACGGTATGATATCGTATCTCTTTTGGAAATCGGAGTATGATACAGTATCATACGAGTTCATGAGTACGAGTAGAGAGGACGGTCGGGTTTAGGTTGACATCCGGGCGGCTTCAACCTCAGGTATCGGCACCACACCACCAACTGTCCAATAAGAAGAGCCTGCACCCCAAAAAGCTCATAAACACCAGCGCCAACTCATCCATTCCGGCCTGCAGAAATTCCATCGCCAATTGAGCTCGAGCCAAACTTCACAACCAAACAGAAATCAACTCCAAGCAACCGCGACCAAACAAAATGCCGACCCCACTTGACGCCATACGCACCGACACCACCATCGACCCACATAAAATCGGTAACCTGCTATTCGACCCGGGCTACCGCGAGACCCGAATCCGCATAGCTAGCATCCTCAGCAGCGACCAGGTATTCGACAAGTCCCTACGACCGCACCTCAACCACCGCCAACTCCTCCATCTCTCTTTGCGTATTTTCAAACGGTTGCTAGAGCTCCGTGACGCGCACGGATGGTCCGATCTCGAGTTTGCCCTCGCCTGTCGTTTGCAGGATGAGTCTCTCCCGACGAGTCTTCACGACGCAGCTTTTGTCCCGGTCATCGCAAGTCATGGAACGCAAGAGCAGCAAGCGTATTGGCTGCCGAGATGTAAACGCTACGAGGTCGTCGGCTGCTACGCGCAGACTGAGTTGGCGCACGGGAGTAATGTGCAGGAGCTAGAGACAGCCGCCAGGTTCGATGTCACCTCGGGAGAGTTCGTGATTTCCTCGCCTAGGCTGGAGAGTACAAAGTGGTGGATTGGGGGATTGGGAGTCATGGCGAACCATACAATTGTACAGGCCGTGCTGTACTTGCCACTGCCTGGGAACCCGCTGGAGTACAAATCTTACGGTCCACATTTGTTCATTGTCCCTGTCCGCTCGCTGAAGACGCATGAGCCGCTACCGGGAATCACTATAGGGGACATTGGGCCGAAGGTGTATGGAGGGGTTGGCATGGTGGATAACGGTTATGTGCAATTTCGGGAAGTTCGGATTCCACGGGAGAACATGCTTATGCGGCATGCGCAGGTAATGCTCACGGGAGAGTATGTCCGGCCGGCGCATGACAAACTTTCCTACGGCAGCATGATCGCGCTGCGGTCTGGCATTCCAGTGAACCTGGGGTGGTCTTTAGCGAGAGCTGTTACAATTGCTCTCAGGTATTGCATCCACAGACGGCAATTTGCGGTGACTCCCGATGGACCGGAGCAACCGGTTATCACCTATTCTGGTGTTAAGCATAGATTGTACCCATTGCTGGCGTTGAGCTATGCATATATCATTACTGGGAGGGAACTCTGGTCCATGTATCAGGAAATGCTAGAGGAGGTTCAGCGTGGAAATATGGAGTCGTTGGCGGAGATGCATAGTTTGTCTGTTGCTTTGAAGGTCAAGAGCTCAACTGACTGTGCGAAGGGGCTGGAAGAGGCAAGGAAATGCATGGGTGGCCACGGATACTCTCATATGAGTGGTGTCGGCCCACTATTTGCAAACGCTACTGCTTCCCAAACATATGAAGGTTTGTCCCAGACACCCTCGCATCACAGCCCCTCACTCCCCCATCCCACTATCCTAACGTGAAACGAAAAGGCGACAACCACGTAATATCCCAACAAACCACTCGCTCCCTCCTAAAGCATATCTCTGCCTTGCGCTCTTCCTCCTCGAGCCCCACCTCCCTCAACTCCATCTCCCGCTCTTCTTCCGGCTCCTCTGCCTCCTCTCGCTCTTCGACCTCCTCCCTCTCATCCTCATCATCAGCATCAACAGAGCACCACCTCCCTTTAAGCAGCTCTTACCTCATAAACACCCTCTTAGCCCCAGCCCAGTTCTACACCCAGCGCTCAAGCGTAAAAACATCCAGTGATTGGTACTCATCAACCCACCAACTCTCGGCACTAGAGCATCGCGCAGCCTACTTAATCCTTGAACTTTCAGCCTCTCTCTCATCGACCTCTACCCCTCAAAACTGGTCTTCGCACACGCACACCACGCACCAAATCGCTTCTGCTCACGCGGACATCTTTGTAGCGACCACCTTCTGCAAATCCGTAGCCCGCGTCGGCTCTTCCAACCTCCTACCGGACGACTGCGTGTACGCCCTGCGCCTACTCTGCGACATTTTCTGTCTGAGTACGCTCGTGGCCGGCTTGCCTGAGCTGTTTGAGAGTGGGTTTGTCAATCCTACGCAGGCGAGATTACTGAGGAGAGCATTGGACGAAGCAGTTTTGATCAGGATGGATGTTGGCAGCGCGGTCGCGCTGACGGACGCATTTGCGTTTACCGGGTTCGAGATGGCGGGGAGCGTACTTGGCCGGGGGGATGGGAGGGTGTACGAGGGGATGTGGAGGACTGTTCGCGAAGGGGAGAGTGGGAAGGAGAGTGAGTTTTTGGAGGAGTGTTTGGAGATTACGGGGCATTATCGCGGGAGGAGGAGGAATGCAAAGTTGTAGGTGTGGATGGGCTGGTGTGGTCTGGAGGGGAAGTATTCAGGAGAGCTGGGCCGGGCGGTGCCGGGCGGTGCTTTGGGGGTTTTGATTTTTCGTTTTTGCTATGGGACTAGATCGGGGGTGGGGGGTTGTGGTTTATTGGAATAATTTTAATTGCTGAACTGTTTGATAGCTATTGCGGCATGTTATGTTAATTCGAGTGTAAGAAGGTTGATATTAGATGTCCAAAAGTCCTTTACTTTTCTACAAATTCTCAGCCTTCTGTATGAACTTGAACGACCAAGGCATCACAAATATCCCTTCGAAAACATGGTAACAACTCTCATCCTTCTAGAATCTCCTTCAGGGTGTGGAGCGGATTCCAAAGAATCACTCGAAATGGCCAGTTAGCCCACACAACAGCGATCAAGACCATTCGTTGAATGCCAGTTACAACTACCATACCATAGTGACTCTGTGAAGGGGTCAAAGGTGCAACCTCCAATTTTCCAATAAATTAAGCATTAATTCAATTGGCTACGCCCACAAAATTGAGAGGAGCATATAGTTCCATAACTTGTACAGTTTATACTCGGAAGTTTGTCTGGTCCCCCACCAGGTTGGAAATTCTCCGGCTTTACCACTCCAAGTGTTCCCGCAACTATCGCGGCACTCCCTTACGACGGGCGCCAGGGGGACGCGCCCGAGTAGTGATAGCCCTCTGAACCGCTGGGGAGCACCCATCCGAGAAATCCTCGGCCGATTTTGCCTCCCGATTCCTCTTGTCCACCTCTACTCTCCTCCCCCTCTCGGCCACAATATGCAAAGGGATGTCATCGGCGTGGCTGGCAGGGTTAGAGTGAGTCTATGATACCATGCTTTAGTAGCGCTGGAGCCACATCCGAGGGACCCTTATGTGCAGAAATACCGTTACAGGCGCAATACCGGTAGTCTAGTACGCAAGACTTGTTCTCGCTCGAGCTGCTACAAGGTTCGGCTCTAGCCTATCGCGCAACGGCAGGATTTCCGGACATCCACGCCGCGACTAGTGGGATTCCCGGTCTGTCTCACGGCGTGACCGACCGCAGTCCTTCAGCCGAACTCTCTCTCCCCGCTGGGGGGCCCGTAAAACACCCCTTGCGGCCTGCCTTCACGGTTAAATATAGCGGGCTGATATCGTGGGGTTTCCCCCAGTTAATTCATACTAAGGATGACTTTCGCACAGTGCCGGTATAGCTTAACAGGCGGACGGTGTCCGTGTGCCCTTCCTGCGCTTCCGGGTGCAGGAGTATCAGGCTGTGGGCGGTTGCGCTTAAGTTGTTTTGCAGCGGACTTATGTCCACCCATGGCTGTGAGGTGTAGGGGTATTAGAATGTCCCTGCGCCTCACTCCCTTGACTTGTACTAGCCCGTTGGCTAGTACGATTCCCATGGCGCTTTCGCAACCCTTTTATGCGGCACGGAGGAGGCGGTAGCCTTTTGAGTCAACAATGTGTATTGGGTCGGGGTCCCCCGATAGTAGAATTGTTGTTGAATGCTTTTATCCCATTGTGGTGCCTCCCCCTACTTATTAAGCTTAATATTTGCGCTCTACCAGTGTTTGAATTGCGCTCTTGCGCCCCACGGGGTAGGAGGGAGCAGAATGCCCTGGAACTGTAGGTATTTTGCCCACTGCAGAATATAATGTGGATTAGAGTGAGGGTGGGGTATAGCAGAACCACAGTGCGCCCTCTTTTTCTGACAAGGAGGTTTGCGTATGACGACGGGTGGTGCAGTTCTCGAGCTATTTTGAGGATAGCTCCATTGGGGAGGATACGAAGCCTCATTGTCCTTTCGTGCATTGGAAGTAAGGAGGATTGGTAGTTCGACATCGGTGAAGGGTTGGTGGTGGGGTTAAGCATTCCGGGATTTCAACTGACATAGGGAAGCGTATATAGCACTGCAGGGAATACTGGTAATCGAACCGGAACTAAGCCCGCAGGGGCTCACGGGTAATGGGTGACGCGAGGATGGCGAAGTACAAGTGGTAAATTTAAAATCCCCCTGTAGAGTCAAACACTCTCTTGCAGCGGTGTTCTCCCAATTGCCGATAACGTTTTTAGATACTACAGTGGCTACTGGTGTTGGGGGGGGGGGGGGGGCAACTCGGTAATCGGACATGGGGGCATTAGGGAAACTAAAGCAAGTTAGACCAGAATGCTTACAGCCTCTGGTCGAAAAAGTCGGGAAACGGGGATCGGGCTTCTGGGGGTTTGATTGGAGAGCTCGGTGTGCTCGAGCCAATTGAGCGACCGTGTTTCTGACCTTTAATTTCTACATTTCCCGATCTTTTCGACTAGAGGCCGTACTGTTGGGGGATGTGCGATCATGCCGCGTCACTCGCTGGCAGGGATGAAGGGGGGGTTCGGTGCTTGTGGCTCGGCGGAGAAATCATGGGACCTGGGCAAAGTATGATCTGGTGGAGGGTGCCTGGAGAGTGTACCATACTGTATCATACGCAAAGAGCTTAAAGCCTTCTCATCAGGAAGGCGGAGCTCCGAGATTAGACTAGATGGCAAAGTCAAACCCAAGATAAATTTATTAGGAAGCGGAAATCGTGAAAAGGTTGAGTATCAGCGAGCTACTCTCTTAGCTGTTCAATTCTAAAAAAGTAACTGGAAATTGATGGTGTCTATTGTCTATAGAGTTATGGTTTTTTTGTGAGAATGGAGCATGTCCCTAGATTGCACGAGCTCTTCAGATGATAGACCTAAGAAAAGGAGGCGACCCGACACCATGAGATGATTTATTTTCATATCATAAGTGAAAGTATAAGGGCCGCTAAGGGTTATCTACTTGGAGATAGTGGCTTGGGATTAATAGGATAATAACTATACCGCGAGCAAATCTTCCAAATTCATACCGGGTTGTGTAATGATTCATTGTGTGTGGAAGCGCAGTAACTCAGATTCCTCCATATTGGTTTACCCTGCAATCAAGTAAGGAAATTTAGGATCCTGAGGTATCGTCCGTACAATGAACCCAAGCGTCCGGTCCGTCCGTCCTAGCGATCCATAACGTATTATCCTAGTTTACACCGAACCGGTTTCAAAGGGTGCGGACGGTGGGCTGGTATGGTTGCCCGGGATTGAAGGGCGAGACCCGCTATGTCTTAAGTTCTGGATTATACTAGACCCCCACAGGTGATGGATGGAAACTACAGGGCCTATATCCTATTTCTCCATTGCGATTGAGCTACATTTCTATACTTCAAAACTCCCGATGTATATCGCGGTAAAAAGAATAATGGTATTCATGGGTACTTGATGCGTGGTCTATGAAGCATGCTAGGCATCCACTGCACTGGTACCAACATCTGACTGCATGTCCGGTCTACCAGAAACTGAAATGACCACACCACCCCTCCCATCTGATGACACTGCAGAGTTGAACAGACGATGGGCGGGTCCTGCAGGAGCCGCTAGATGACGGGCAAGCTCTTAGGACCCGATCAATGACAGGAGGGCCCCGCAAGGCCCTACAGATGACTGACGGGCCCTGTAAGGCCCGCTAGGCGATGGGCAGGCTCGTAGTCTAACCCAAAGACCGCCGTCCTTCTATATTGCCACCCTGGACGAACCCTGAAATGCCGTCCTATCCCATCCCGGGAACTTGGTAGTCCCCGAGGGGGACTATGGGAACACTGTGTCCGTATAGCATTCCAACCTGTAGAATTATTAAAGAAACACCTGGATTAGGCTTATATCTGTGATTTTCTGGGGCGCGATCCTAGGGGCTCTTATTATAGACGCTGAGAAAAAGTGCCGCGTGCGTTCTTGGGTCGGATGTTCAGACAGGAAAGCCACCAGATAGTAAACTAGTGGCCATTCTGGGAAAACTCAAGCTCTGTTTATCCAAGAGCGCGTATTTGTGCGTAACCTCTGTATTGTAAGGTTGTGGCACCCATGCTGGCAATATCTTGGCACGGTTTCCATAGGTAGGGATAATTCTTCTGGTTCATTCATGTTAATCATTTAAGCGCTCTGCACTGTACCAGTACTTGAGACTCTCATGGTCTGGAAGGGTTTTGTCATGGACTTGTGTCCGTTCAGGACTACGAAGTTAAGGAAAACCGATACACCCCCGTCCCTCGCTCCACTGACTTACAACCGCCCTTCGACCAGTAGGATTCGTGTCGCACTCTCGCTACCCTTTTAGAAGCAGGATAGAGCAGGTTATGAAACTGCAGATCCAAGGCCAGTCAGGGTTTCAGCTGGGAGGCCCTATCAACTGAGATGGAAGTGCAGGAGAGAACCGATAACCACCTGTCCTTTCCGACAAGGAGGGTTTAATATGAGAGCATCACCAGAACAAAATAAAAGTTAACCCAAAACTTTTGCGTTGCGAGATCAGCAATCATGACTTGTCACTCGCCTAGTGCGAAAACTAAAGAGTTAGGGGTGTATGACTCGGCAGGGAAATGACCAGGCACGGTACAAGTTGTCAAAATTCTGGTAGACGCAAAGTGTCTAAATATTGTACTGAGCTTGTTGCCTTGTATAATGCCTTTATCTGTAAGGATGAAGCAGTGCTCACAAGTGGCCAGTCTGGCCAGGCTTTCGAGTCATTGCCCCTATTCCAGTATTTTTCAGGACATCTTCCAATATCATGGATTGAACTAGTGCACGCGTCAACAGTCTCTGCGAATACATTACTAGCATGGGTGATATGCTATCTCCGCAATAATTTCTGGGGTCCGAATCATATCTTGTATTTTGGAGTCGGGGTTTTCAATAATATATTATCCTTGTTTATACCGAACAGGTTTCAGGCAAGCCAGTCGGGTTTGAAGGACCCTGGGGTGCAAATCTGAGAGTTGAACCGGAGCCTAAGCTCATATTCTCGCTTAAATAATTCTGTTCAACCAGATAATTAGGATAGTGAGAAAAGAAATAATTTCGGTTGTGGAGTGGTTATGAAGAAGCTTTCTCGGAGAATTTTTAGGGTCATGATGATGCTAAAGTAGTAGAAGAAACACCTTTATAATATAATAATTGCTAACACGCAAGAGACGAATCTACCGTACAATCTAGGGGGGTACCCAGCGAAATGAAACTTATCAGCATCTGTGGGGCCAATTGCTTTGAACTTGGCCTAGTGTCTTTTTATTTCTCTTTGTGTGTCCCAGGCCTGATCCAGCGGGAGGTAGTTTCAGATATTATATCGTAATGGAGGATATTTGCTGATATTTACAGATCTCTGTGGGTATCTTCAGATATCTGTTACGCATTGACGAAATGCTTACTACCTACAAGGCATGTACCGAAAGCTTGCCGGCGCTGAGTACTCCATTATTTTTGAGAATATATATAGAGGCAGCATTTCCCAGTTGCGGCTACAAATTATGCATTACTTTCTAGCCCAGTTATTGGGACTCGATACAGCAACAACTGGAACCTACCGTACCGGATGTCAGTCTTCAGTCTTCTACGCACCTTCCATCATTAGGGTGTTTCTTTCAATACTTTTGCATGCAGTGACCTATAATACCAACTAGCAGTTTGCTGGTGTTGGTACCCTCCATCCTCTGACAGGTTCAGAGATCAACTTATACGACCTTGAGGGGATCCACTTATAAAAGCTGCCAATAGCTAGAATTTAGGCCCCTACGAACCCCACAATGCCATCTTTACGGTTACTTCGGGAGTCCTCCCCACTTCGTACAATTTCCTATAGCCAAATCCTATCAAAGTCCCTCGACAGCTTACAAACTTTACCTACCACCCACACTGGTAGTGCAAAGAAACCGATGCCAAAAGGCTCTACCAAGCGGCCTCTAAAACCATCCAGTAGCGACAACCAGCCCCGCCGAAACGCCGTTGCACTCGCGCAGAGATTCTTGGTGACCTCTTTCGCCCTGGCTCTCCTTACGATCTGTCTTTGGAAGTTTTCCAATATCCGGCCATTGAGCAAATGGGAGCAACGGCTCTTCAATACGCTATCAATTTTGCTCACTGGTATCGCCAGTTTGGGTCTCGGATCACTCTCAGGGCACCTAGGCTCCATGCTCAGATGGCCCCTACTTTCCCGAACGGTGTATCAAATGAAAGATGTGTGGTAGCTTACCTCTCGGTAAAGGCCTTTGTTAATTATCGGTATAGGTAGACTTAATACTGGGCATGTCACAGCCAACCGGTTCATTACAACTAATCAAAAGGCACATTCGAGATAGGAGAATCTCGCGGACCACCTTTATTGTCACCACATACCTCATGGCAAATCTGATTGGGAGATCGAGTGTGGCTGTTTTCGGTTTAGCTTACAACATGACGGATAAAACAGGGATTGAGGACCCAATCCTTGCCACAAATTGGACATCAGCTTTATGGACTAATCAGATTTACTCCAAGGAGACTGCATATCCGATGAAAGATAAATACGGGAGCGCACACGGCAAGGATACCTCCCTCTCAGACCCGATGCTGTGGCAATGAACTGTGACTAAGATCTCTGGTTAGATTTCATGAATTCGGTGTGGAATGGAATACAAAGGTACGCCAGGGGCCCTGAGCGGCCTGAGGTCCAGAACTCTAGCTTTACCCATAGTGACTTGGAGTCGGATCTCCGAGTGTCAAACGCTACTCTGAAACTAGGTGCAAACACAACTACTTACTCGTACGAATTAATGGATTTCAAGGGGGGACATCCTATACCCTCAAATCGCACCGTTTATTCAACTGTTAGCTGTAGCATAATCGAAGTTCACGAGGGCCTATATTGGCGCTGGAGCAATGGTAATAGAACAGGACCATTTGGTATGCAGGACTTTTGTTACCCTTCAATAACCAATCTCCAAAGCGTCAATGAAGCTGAATCGGGATTTTGCAAATTAGATTGGGGTGAGGAGAGTGTTGCAATCGTAACCGAGACCTTATTATGGGGGTTAAACGCCACAAAAGGGACCCATCGAGCATTGTGGAGGAATCACACAATGTCATTCCCAGTCATGGCGAATGGAAGTCATGTTTCTCCTCGGATTTGTCAGTATTATTTGCCCATTTCCATATAAGGTCTCCTAGAATTAATACCATGATTTCTCCAGATATAAAGTGCCCGCACTCAGAATTTTCTTGGGAATGTTGGCCGACCCTAACCGAAACTGTTCGTGCCAATGAATCCCACGAAATTCAACCTCTTAAAGCGATCTTTCACCCAACAGGCTTGTATCGGCTGTTGACATTGGGCCTTGGTGCTTCCGGGGGCAGCGGCCGTTTGGTCTATTTGAAAGACTCACACTTATCTGCCTTCATGAGGCCTGCCCCCGAGAATCGGATAAGCCAAATTTGCAGCGAATTCTCCGGACCCCGGTACCAGAACAAAACAATCCCGGCTGGCTACCACTTTTGGATAGCTGGCCAAGCAGCTCGGCTACCGATCCTCGCCATAATGAACGCAAATTTCAAGCTACCTCGGCTTGCAAGAGGCCCAACCCCTAATCAGATCAGTGGCACCGCATACGTACACACGACCCTGGATGTAGACTGGCTTCGAGTTGTCGTCGTAGTAGCCAGTATTACAGGCGGCCAAATCCTAGCGATCCTAGCTGTCCTCTACTATTGCAATGGTGTCTACACCAGAGACGATAGTTACCTAGCGACTGCGGAGCTCTTGAAGACAGTTATAAACAGATTTGATGGTGGGAAATTGATGACAGGCGAGGAATTGGCAACATCTCTTGATAATGTCTTGGGAGTATCAGTTAGCTATGGGACCAGGATGGGTCAGGACGGTGGCCCGCCGGAGGTGGATCTGGCTTATGGCTTGGATGCCAACTTTCCTCCATTCCCCCAGAAAAAACAAGCCTCAAGGAACAATTGTTAAAAGATCCCAGAGTGGCAGTTGTGGGTTCATTGGATTTGGTGGAGTCGCGGGTGGCACGGGTTCGGCTTGTTGTGTAGATAAGGTTATTTGCACCGTTTGAGGGGAATTTTGCACGTTTGTTTGGACAGCAAACTTTTCACTAGAAATGGTAGGGGGGAAAAAGGATAATATTTTTTTAAGAAGAAAAATAAGGCCGAGTTACTTGAATTGCTTGTATTAAGTTTAGTATTCCTCCATTTGATACCAGTTCTGATTGTCGAGTGAAAATATAATGCTGCAGTGAGCAACAAGGGGCAGGCGCTGTAGCGGTTAACTTATTTGATATTGTCGCATATCGTGCTCTTTGTGTTTGCCCCACGCCGTATCATACAGTATATTCTCTTTCCTATAACCCATCCTTCACGCCCAACAGCCATGGTAGCCCGGCACATCCGTAATGCGAACGGCGCTACCGGCACGAACCGGATATTGCTATTCTCCCACCAGCTGTGCCGCAACCCCCCTAAAAAATTCAAATAACCCAACCGCGTACTATGCCGCTGTAGAAAACTCCAGGGCATAGCAGGCGGTCCGATTATTTGAGTTTTTACTGTACCAAGCTCCCAGAATTGTTCTCTGCAGACAGGGACCTACCACCTCCGGAAAACCAAACATCTTGCACCACAGAATAACATATAGATACCGGGTAAGGTGTGTCTCCCCCGGAAGGAAGATGAGGCAAATAGAAGTTGAAACGATTCAAAATATGTGCCTGATGGAATGACTTGCTAAGGGGGGGGGGCGACAGAAGAAAATCGAAGGTAAGGAGGAAACAAGTTCTCACTTAGCCTCCTAGTTTCTCATTCCCTATCCCTCCCAGCATAAGTTATACCCAGACTATCCCAAACACCCTAACTCACTCGGTCGATTTTTCTAACCCCCCCCCCGAATATTCCCGTCCTGCTTATATCCTAATATCTACATATGCGATTAGCTCCGCCTCAGCTTGACCCGCAACAAGAAGTAAAACCAAATACCTAAATCTACTCAAAGTCCAAGTTTCAACTTACAAATATGTTCGACGACACTCCTTTAGTCCATGGAAATGCCGAACCACACAAAATATATCATGCAGCCCCCTATTGTAGAGATCGCGAATGCACAAGCGTCAGAAGCTTGATAGTTTGTCCTACCTTTGAGACCCTTTAACCAATGAGTCGATCCTTACAGCCCAGTCATCAGTACGGTACCCTCCCACGAAACCAAGCTAAGCCTCTCTACGTAGGTTTTCGCAGATCGCAGCAAGTTCCGCCTACGGTTTTCACAGTAAGCGGGTCCTGCAGGCGACGGCATTGCTTTATTCTCCCTCATCTCTAAACTGTCACCATTGTCACAGCTGTGCTGCAAGTAGACCGCTGAGAACTACTACTACCGGCTGTATAATAAAAACTACTTTTCGGGTGCTAGCTGATCTAGAACTATCATAGGAGACCTGCCCAAAAGTCAGAGACCCCGCCAGCCTTAAGGCAGGGATACCTAAATTTACCGAAGAGAGAGGAGTGAAGTTAATGGATAGGTCTTTAATTTTAGTTCCGTTAATGACTTGGATTTTCCTGTGAAGGGGGGCCCCCTTTCACAAGAGCGCCACGGATGCCCTCTCAGGAATGGGAGAGTTTCGAGGGGATTTTCGCCACGCGCTCGGGAGCTGAAAGTTATCTTTTTTTGTTTCTTATTTTTTTGCTTGCTATGGTTGTCTATGACTTCCATTATGTCGATTCCATGCCTTAGGCTCCTCATTTCGTGACCCAGGTGTCGTATGCGTAAATCGTACTGTCAAACAAGCGAAGGATTTAACAAAAAACAATCGGGCATGATATAATAGTTGCAAAAGCACTGGCAACAATGATCCGCGTTCTCGCGCTCTTGAACACCGGTGGCCCCAAGGCGGTATGGGTCGTCTATTTTCCACCTACAGTATTCCTACTGACCAATCGAATCACCGGATTCAACTACTCCGATATTTACTCTAATTCCAGCCAGAGATACATCCCCTTCCAGCACCTTACCCGTCACTCAAGACAAAACCTATCCTTCCCCCGTAACGGCTCCACAAAAACCGGTGCCCACCCCTGTATCATTGCCAACTCATAAGCCGTATTTCCCGTATTCGTCTTCAAGTTGAGCAAAATCTCCGGCCGCCCTAGGAGGCACCAAACAATCCCATAACACTTCTTCCGAACAGCTGAGTGCAGCGGCGTCTCCGCATTCCACCCACGCGAGTTAACATCGACTCTACGGTCCTCAAGCAGCACCTCCACCACCTCCTCTCGCATACCCAGCACCGCCACATGAAGCGGGGTCCACAAGGAATTATTGAGAGGGCTAGAGTCAATTCTAGGGTCTTCCAGCAGACATTGCACACCCACTACCTCCCAGTCGCGTGCAGCGTAGTGTAAGGCCGTATCCCCGTCGTGGTTTGCCCGGTTCACATCAATGCGGGGGTCACTTAGCAGGATGCGGGCTATGTTGGTGCGGCGGTAGCAGATGGCTTCGTGCAGTGGTGTGTTTCCGTCGTGGCTGGTCAGGGATAGGTCGAGTCTGCTATCCCTCAGGAGGTCTCTAGCGATATCTTCCTCGCCTACCTGCGCTGCGGCGTGCAGGGGTGTCAAGCCTGTGTTCGTCCCGATGTTTATGTCGACCCTGGGGTCGTTCATCAAGGCTCTCGCGGCGGATTCCCTGCCCCGCTTGATGGCAAGGTAGAGTGCTGTGCGGCCGCCGTAGTCCTTGATGTTGACGTCTATTCTACTATCTCCAAGCAGAGTCATTACAGCTTCTTCATTACCCGAAGCGGCGGCGGCGTGTAAAGGCGTAATGTTGGCTTCGCTCCGGGAATTAACATCCAATTTGTTGCTGCTCATGAGGAGCTTCGCGACCGCCGCCCAACGGGTATCCTTCGACGACATGTGCAATGCCGACCTACCGGCATAGTCCAGGATGTTCACGTCGATCCTCCCATCCTCCAGCAGCAACCCCACCACATCGGCGTGTAGTCTCCTCGCCGCGAGATATAACGGCGTTTTCCTCTTCGCGTCGATAACATTGACGTTAGCCCCTTCCTTCTTGACCAACAACCTCACAACCTCCACACGCCCGATCTCAGCTGCTGTGTGCAGTGGTGTGCGGGAGTTCAGGTTCCTTGTTTCTGTGTCAACCCCGCAGGCCAGCAGAGTGCGGACCACGCTCACGCTCTGCGTCGCTACGGCATCGTGCATAAGGCCCCCGTTACCGACGAACTCGATAATTCCAAGAATCCCTTTGCCCAGCAGGCTCTGAACGGTGGTTTTGTCGCCGCGTTCAGCGGCCGAGTAGAGGGCTCTTCGGCCATATCTATTCGAGCGGATACGGAATATGGCGTTTATTAAAGAGCGCTCGAGGAGGATTGCTAAACGGCGGTTCGTACGCACGAGGGAATTGAGGTCCGGTGGGGATTGCTGTTCGGAGATCCGGAGAATTATTTCGTTCGGCAGGTCCAAAAACGGCATTGTAGTATTGTTTTCGCTCCTATCAAAAGAGAAAGGGATTGATAACTCTTGGTGGATTACCCCGATATGAAAGCACGGAAAGAGAGAATTTTAGAGGGGTCAATTGATACAGAAGGGGTGGAGTGGGTATTTTATAATTCTGGTCATATTGGAATTCAAACCGAGTTGTGCTGTTGAGCTTATCTATGATAGTTCGATTGGTTAGGGTCACGTGCTTTGATATTCGCAACCAAGATCTTAGCTCGTGATGTAGAGGTGTGCTCCAATCGGGTGCGGCACTACGTCTAGGGGTTGCTATCACGGTAAGAGCAGCTCAGGGCCAGTTTGAAATGATGTCCCCTACTATGAGATTTCCGCAATACCGGTATTTTCAGGAAATAAACAATATAAAAGGAATCCCATGGATCCAAGTAACCCAATCGTCAGTTTAGGCTGATCCACAGTATTCGGAGGGCTGGCCCTCCGTCCATGTGATGTGATACGAAGAACCTGATTGAATAATGATATTCAACAGTCAAGTTTACCCATCCCGTAATTCTCCTTGCACCCGCAGTGCCCGGAATCTCTCGAGAACATGGCCTCGAGTAAGAAAATTCTGTAAGAACTTCCGCTTCCCCACACCCGCTCTAGAAGATGCGACCTAGGTTGGTAATTCGGTATTAGTAGGAACTATTGATGGAATAACTTCCCAAGAGGTTTTGGTCCAACAGAAACCGCACCAACGCCGTATCGTTAGGGAAAAAATGAATACCGGTAAGCTTGGGTTCCATGCACACCCAGGCGCCACCAGAAAACGCCACCGTCCGCACATATGATGGGAATTTAACAACAAAATCTAGCACAAGTATGTTAGTAGAAAAGTTAAGGCCTCTTCTATTGGAACGCCTAAAAATTTACTCGTGAATTTGATATACTTGCTTGAGTACCGTATCCGTACCCGCATAACTCGTACGACGATCAGCCGCTTCTTCCGCAGTCGGGGAACAATTCTGCTGCAGGATCCTAACAGTAACGCACAATGCCCGTGCTAATAATGCATATATGCACTAATCTCAACCTTGGGTTGCCTAGCTCCGTTCCGATCGCGAGAACATGCCGGTCGACAAGCAACATACCCAGATTTTCCTCGGAGCACCGCTACCATCCTATCAGCCAACCCTCCTCCGGTTCCTTCAAGAAAAAAGAATATCACTTCAGGGCTAAACAGGCCTATGGCGATTTCTGAATGTCGGTTGATTGAGTGTGATAGCATTGGGGCGCCTGGGAGCAGTGGAAATAAAAATAAGGGTGGAAGAAACAACACGCCAAGAGGAACTAAACCGATATCGCGAGTGACTATGTGTGATGTGAGCGCTAGGTATTCTTATTCAATCCAATTTATTTTTTCCAGCAGTGCCCATCTCGTACATAACAAGGAGAGAACAGTAGCAAAATCTAGAAATAAGTAGAAGTTAGAGATTTAGGTGAAAAGAAGGGGGCGGAGAGAAAGAGAAGGAAGGTTGATTTCTTAACACCCCAGCTATTTTGGCTTCCTACCAAAAATAAACCATGGGATGGGATGGGCTCGCACCCGGTATTTTCTAGTCTTGAGGTTTGTGTTCTATCGTTTGTGGGGTTGATATTAGCATACCACCGGCGCCTGCTAACTCAGACCCAGTTGTCCACCCCGCTTCCCAGCGTTCGAAAAGTGGTTGAAAGGTGAACGTACTTTTTTGAAGCAGAAAATTGTTGATGTTATCCTCCTCTCAAAGGAAAACAAGAACAATATATAGATACACTAATCCCACATGCCGCCACACGCCGTCACCCATTGACATGCCCTACAGGGAAAAAAATGCTTTCACCACACAAACCCATATATGCAATAGTAGGTAGCAAGCCCACAGAACTAATCCCAGGTTTTCTGATATAAACTCCCATTTTCCAACATCTCCGCTATTCGTCAAGGTGGGTGGTGAGCCATGATAATCTCATAAGACAGTTCCCAACAATCAACTTCTCCACAAGACATCAACCCATATGAACTAGTCATAATCCCTTTAGCTAACTTGAATACAACCTATTCTTAATGCACATGTCAGGCAAGTTGATGAAAAGAAATTTTTTTTACACACTTCAGCACATTCATTATCGGTACAATTAGAATGCACCTCCCATTTAATATTTCATAAAATAGAAAGAAAATTTACCAAACATATCTGCAGAACAAAAGAAATAAAGAAGTAGCTTATCATATTACTTAGATATCTTTGCATCCTGCTCTACCCCTCCAACTTAACTAAAAATGCAAAAAAAAACCCCACTTCAAGTTGCCTTACTCATCAGAATAGCTTTTCTATCATTCCTATCCCCCATCCAAAAGTTCTTATAAAATAAGAAACTATCAGAAAGAAGACTCAAGACTTATTTAAGCTTATCATCATATGAGTTCAAATTCTCTCGCTGCCCATATAAGTCTTGATACTGGATATGACTTATAATCTACTACTCCCCTGGTAGTAGTGGTATCAGCCTGAGATAGAAATAACATAAAGGACCTCATTTGTTATAATCCTAATATTATTGGATAGTTGTTAGCTAAATTGTCATGAAGTAAGAAAATATTAGCAAAAGAGGAGGGTAGACTTTATTGTTCAGATTTCTTAATTTGATTGACTATTGCCGTTCTTTTAATTCTCTGTATCAGAATCCTCAATCCAGTTTACCTGTCTTAGGCTACTGATTTGTATTCTTTTGTTGTCCTCTTAGTTATTATTGTTCCTCCAGCTCTTTGGTCCAAGTCTATCAAATATCCAAGTCCTAAGGCTTTCAGCCTTTCTCCTCCAGTTCTAAATCTCTTCAGATTCCCCTAGATCCTCCTAGATCTCTTTAGATCTCCTTAGATCTTCTTAGATTCTCCTGAATTCCCCTATATTCTCCTAGATCCCCCAGATCTCCCCAGATCCTCCTAAATCTCCTAGGTCTTCCAAGTCCTTAGAGGCTTCTCCTAAATCTTCCTAGGTTCTTCTAGGTCTTCTAGGTCTGTCAGATGTTTCTGAACCCCTCTAGATTCTCCCAGATTCCTCCAGGTCCTTTAGGGCTTCCAGGCCTTTTTAGACTTCTAGGTCCTTTAGGTCCTCTAGGTCTTCCAGGTCTTCCAGGTCTTCTAGGTTCTCTAGGTCCTCTAAGTCCTCTAAATCTTCCAGATCTTCTTAGTTCTCCAGGTCACCTAAGGCTTCAAGTTCCAAGCCATCTGGGTCTTTATATATTATATATTGTGTATTATGTATTGTAAATATGATTTAGTAGTATGTGGTATTTAGTATATAGTTGTCACGGCCACCCGGCTATGGAGACAGAATGTGCATAGGTTCTTCGTTGCATATATTGGTTGTGGTTTTCTTGGTTGTATGGTTGGATTTCCTTTGTATGAACGAATGGGATGTGTTGTTGCGCAACGGAAGATAGCGGAACCAGATAGAGAAATCGCGGCTGCGTGCGACGCCAAGAACTTTCTTTTGTATTAGTGATCATGGAGGATTTTCTTAGTATATAAAGGGGTGTGCCCCTTTATATTTTACTTTCTTTACGCAATCTGGTAATCTCCTTTGGACACCCTTTCTTACGTTCCAAGGATCCACCTAAACTCCACGTCGTCCCTGACTTTATCTCACGATAACTTCAGGTCTTGTTCGTGAAGGAATCTTTACCTTCGCTTACATTTATTAACCTCGTAAGGCTTTGCCCTTACGTTCGTTGCTTTAGGGTCTTCGTTTCCGTCGTTCGTTCGCTTCGGTCGGTCGCTTCGATGTCTAAGCGAGGTTCTTCCCTTTCAGCGGGCAAGGTCGCTGCGGCCTTGTCTTCCCTCTCGGCGTCGGTCGATGAGGCTTCTCTTCTTCGGAAGGAGGTCTCCCGCCTTCGCCACCACGTCTCGGTACTGTCTCGTCGACTCCACTTGTCGGAACGGGAGCGTGCGGCCTTGGTTGCGGCTAGGCGTTCGCCCTCCCCTCCGTTCGGCGGGTC